ACACACACACACACACACACACACACACACACACACACACACACACACACACACACACACAGCAGTCGTGGCCTAATAGTTAGAGATTCATAAATATATGAATACTATTTCACTGCTTCCACAAAAATATGAAGCAGCACAGCTGTTTTCAACATTGATAATAATCAGAAATGTTTCTTGAGCATCAAATCAGCATATCAGAGCATATAAATTTCTGAAGGATCATGTGACACTGAAGACTGCAGTAATGATGCTGAAAATTCAGCTTTGATCACAGGAATAAATTACATTTTAAAATATATTCACATAGAAAGCAGTTATTTTAAATTGCAATAATATTTCACAATTTTCACTGTATTTATGATCAAATAATTGAAGAAAGTGGCTTTCAAAAACATACTTTTGAAAAGTAGTGCATAACTACACTAGTTTAGTCAATTTTTAGCATAAAAATGACTTCAAAGCTAACACACATGGACTAAAAGCAACAAAACTTAAGCGATCTTTTAAGTTTCTACCTTGGATGGACAGGAAGTGTAGGACATTTTGTTGTTCGATTACGGTGAGATGAATAAGTGTCTGGCTGGACATCATAAGAGCACAAATCAGATCCTAGAGACAACAATACAGAAAAACAAAACACAATTAGGCATAAATCACATTTCCGGACATTCAGCTGTACACCACAGCACTGAGCTCACCGTTAGCCGTGGAGAACTTTGTGAGATCCTCATAAGTCTTCAGCTCGGCGTCTGGACACTTTGCACTTTGAGAAGCCACAGATTTAATCTTTCTTCTCAGTATGTCGATGTTACAGGGGTCCAGGAAAAACACAAAACACATACAGAACCATTGAACAAACTGTCACTCAACACCTGTAAAACCCTCCTTGCCAGTCTACAGAGGAGGCAGCTGTGTTTCCGCTCGTTCTCACACACTTTCTGGAGGTGTGGTCGCGGCCGCTGAGCTCTATTCCTGGGATTTTGGCGTTCTTCTGACCGCAGGTGTTCCCGTAGCTGTCGTACCCTGATATGAGTCTGGAGGCGGCCCCTGTCGCTATGGCGAAGCCACAGATGCAGAGCTGCCATAGAAACACAAGATGATGATCAGGATGATCAGGCAGAAATTATTGATGGGCAATATTTGCCCCCTGGAACTGATTTCAGGTGCATTGTTTACTTTGTTTACTTGGCATTTTTACCATATAAAAACAGACAGCATGAAGTACTTAAGTTGAACCAATTAATTAAATACATTTCACTTAAACACTTATGACTACAATAAGAAAATAACACCAGAAAATGATAATAATATTGTTTAAACTAATAACAAATATTATTCATACTTAATGTTTTTGGATTGGCAATTGTGTCCAATAGTTGCTTTTTTTTTTTTTTTGAATTTTATTTCTTTATATTCATTTCACATGTCTGTTTTCCTACCATGCCGACATTGAAGAGGATGAACAGGAGCAGCCATGGGATATCTGTGCACGTCCTCTGCTCTAAGGGTTTCCACTCGCGGGTCTTCTGTAAAGGGGAAGTTGACATAGTTGACATGACACACACAAACTCTCTTTTAACTTAAATAGCTAAATAAATAACTACATGCATAAATAATTTTTTTTTTGAGGATCTAGTAACATTTTCTAATTACTGTATATTAATTTGTCACATCACATAACTAGCTAAGTAAACTACAAAAAAGTATGTAATTAAAATAATGAAAACCTAAAAAAGACATTGAGACTAGCAGTGTCATTTTAGTATTATTTAAATACTATGATAAGTTAGTATTTTGAATTGACCTATATATATCTATATATCTATATCTATATATACACCAAGTTATGTCATGAAACTCTAGATGGCGCAGGCTGATGGGTCCTTAACATAACTGATGATATTATTAGCATTAAATGACTTGTCACAAGCTGATTGGTTCATGTTGCATACGCAGCCAATGAGCTTCTTGCCTTACATTTAAATGGCTGATTAGCATTCGCTTGAGCATTGCAACGCGCTTTAGAGTTCCTCTGAAACCCCCCACCTTCCCCAGCTCCACCTGTATAGATCTGCTACGGGTTATTTTATATGCCATTTGTGCAGCAGCAGTAAATACTCACAGCACCATATCGACTTATGTATTGGCAGCAGCAAGTTCCTGTACTTGCTTGCAGCAGCAGCAGCAATAATCTACAAATACAGCAATAACCAACAGCAATTCAGCAGCAGCAGCGTAGCAAATCTATTCCGCCAAGACCAAATACATTTACATTGTCATATCCATTACCATGCTAAAATCTTCAGAGTTCTCATGATAGAAATACATATGTATGTATATTACAGGGTGCGATTTGTGAAAAAACCAGAGGGGGGGATGCTTTTGAAAACTTTTTATGAAATGTTTTTAATACGACAGAAACTGTATTTAACGTGATCACAGTTTAATAAAAAACATTGTACGTTAGGCCTATTAATTGTAATGATTTCATTTCCACAGCTATTCAAACAACGAATAAATTATAGAGAAAGCGAGCAAAGAACACAACGGAGCTTTTTGAAACTCCGAATCGGTTAAACCATTGCGTCGCAAAATGACGTTTCGAAGCGCTCCAATCGGATCGCGTATCACGAATCATTTGATTCAGATCGGGACTTCAACGCACTTATTGCGAATCATTTGATTTAGATCGGGACGTCGGAGCGGGTTCGCGGGATGTTTTTATCCCACACCGGGGATAAAAAGAATTAAACAGAGGCAGGGATGCATAGACCAGAGGGGGGGAAATCCCCTCCCCCTGTGTGTGTGTGTGTGTGTGTGTGTGTGTGTGTGTGTGTGTGTGTGTGTGTGTATATATATACACACATATACAGTGCACAGCATAAACGAGTACACCCCCTCTGAAACTAAACAAATTCAGCAATTACTCTTTGCTTAGAAGACATATTATGTTTTTTTTTAGATATACTATTCTAGCAAGTCTGCTTGATCAGTTACCAAAGAAGAATGTTAAAATTATTCAAGAAAATACCATTTTCTTATCAAAGTGATAAAATGTTGTGTTGCAAAAATGAGTACACCCTCCTGAAAGTTACTAAATACAAATAAAAAAAAATAAAAAAAATCTGGTGTAAGGTTAAGGCAAGTATTGATCAACAGGTAAGTATGTTGAACCAAAACGGTTAAAGGTAAGTAATTTCTTGATAATGAAGTGTTATATGGCCCACTGAATCATACTCAGACTTAATGCTGACAACAATGAAACCACTTGAGAGAGAACTGTCAGGCGAATTATTTCTTAGCATAAAAGAGGACAATGGTACAAGAGGAATACCAAATTAGCATAAAAATGACTTCAAAGCTAACACACATGGACTAAAAGCAACAAAACTTAAGCGATCATTTAAGTTTCTACCTTGGATGGACAGGAAGTGTAGGACATTTTGTTGTTTGATTACGGTGAGATGAATAAGTGTCTGGCTGGACATCATAAGAGCACAAATCAGATCCTAGAGACAACAATACAGAAAAACAAAACACAATTAGGCATAAATCACATTTCCGGACATTCAGCTGTACACCACAGCACTGAGCTCACCGTTAGCCGTGGAGAACTTTGTGAGATCCTCATAAGTCTTCAGCTCGGCGTCTGGACACTTTGAGACGCACAGAGCCACAGATTTAATCTTTCTTCTCAGTATGTCGATGTTACAGGGGTCCAGGAAAAACACATACCTGTGACAGAACCATTGAACAAATTGTCACTCAACACCTGTAAAATCTTCCTGAATCACTCGTCAATCTAAAGATCTGCAAAGGAAGCAGCTCTGTTTCAGCGTGCTCTCACACACTTTCTGGAGGTGTGGTCGCGGCCGCTGAGATCTATTCCTGGGATTTTGGCGTTCTTCTGACCGCAGGTGTTCCCGTAGCTGTCGTACCCTGATATGAGTCTGGAGGCGGCCCCTGTCGCTATGGCGAAGCCACAGATGCAGAGCTGCCATAGAAACACAAGATGATGATCAGGACACGGTGGCAGAAATTATTGATGGGCAATATTTGCCCCCTGGAACTGATTTCAGGTGCATTGTTTACTTATATGAGAGGGCATTTTTACCATATAAAAACAGACAGCATGAAGTACTTAAGTTGAACCAATTAATTAAATACATTTCACTTAAACACTTATGACTACAATAAGAAAATAACACCAGAAAATGATAATAATATTGTTTAAACTAATAACAAATATTATTCATACTTAATGTTTTTGGATTGGCAATTGTGTCCAATAGTTGCTTTTTTTTTTTTTTTGAATTTTATTTCTTTATATTCATTTCACATGTCTGTTTTCCTACCATGCCGACATTGAAGAGGATGAACAGGAGCAGCCATGGGATATCTGTGCACGTCCTCTGCTCTAAGGGTTTCCACTCGCGGGTCTTCTGTAAAGGGGAAGTTGACATAGTTGACATGACACACACAAACTCTCTTTTAACTTAAATAGCTAAATAAATAACTACATGCATAAATAATTTTTTTTTTGAGGATCTAGTAACATTTTCTAATTACTGTATATTAATTTGTCACATCACATAACTAGCTAAGTAAACTACAAAAAAGTATGTAATTAAAATAATGAAAACCTAAAAAAGACATTGAGACTAGCAGTGTCATTTTAGTATTATTTAAATACTATGATAAGTTAGTATTTTGAATTGACCTATATATATCTATATATCTATATCTATATATACACCAAGTTATGTCATGAAACTCTAGATGGCGCAGGCTGATGGGTCCTTAACATAACTGATGATATTCTTAGCATTAAATGACTTGTCAGAAGCTGATTGGTTCATGTTGCATACGCAGCCAATGAGCTTCTTGCCTTACATTTAAATGGCTGATTAGCATTCGCTTGAGCATTGCAACGCGCTTTAGAGTTCCTCTGAAACCCCCCACCTTCCCCAGCTCCACCTGTATAGATCTGCTACGGGTTATTTTATATGCCATTTGTGCAGCAGCAGTAAATACTCACAGCACCATATCGACTTATGTATTGGCAGCAGCAAGTTCCTGTACTTGCTTGCAGCAGCAGCAGCAATAATCTACAAATACAGCAATAACCAACAGCAATTCAGCAGCAGCAGCGTAGCAAATCTATTCCGCCAAGACCAAATACATTTACATTGTCATATCCATTACCATGCTAAAATCTTCAGAGTTCTCATGATAGAAATACATATGTATGTATATTACAGGGTGCGATTTGTGAAAAAACCAGAGGGGGGGATGCTTTTGAAAACTTTTTATGAAATGTTTTTAATACGACAGAAACTGTATTTAACGTGATCACAGTTTAATAAAAAACATTGTACGTTAGGCCTATTAATTGTAATGATTTCATTTCCACAGCTATTCAAACAACGAATAAATTATAGAGAAAGCGAGCAAAGAACACAACGGAGCTTTTTGAAACTCCGAATCGGTTAAACCATTGCGTCGCAAAATGACGTTTCGAAGCGCTCCAATCGGATCGCGTATCACGAATCATTTGATTCAGATCGGGACTTCAACGCACTTATTGCGAATCATTTGATTTAGATCGGGACGTCGGAGCGGGTTCGCGGGATGTTTTTATCCCACACCGGGGATAAAAATAATTCAACAGAGGCAGGGATGCATAGACCAGAGGGGGGGAAATCCCCCCCGGAAAATGTGTGTGTGTGTGTGTGTGTATATATATATACACACATATACAGTGCACAGCATAAACGAGTACACCCCCTCTGAAACTAAACAAATTCAGCAATTACTCTTTGCTTAGAAGACATATTATGTTTTTTTTTAGATATACTATTCTAGCAAGTCTGCTTGATCAGTTACCAAAGAAGAATGTTAAAATTATTCAAGAAAATACCATTTTCTTATCAAAGTGATAAAATGTTGTGTTGCAAAAATGAGTACACCCTCCTGAAAGTTACTAAATACAAATAAAAAAAAATAAAAAAAATCTGGTGTAAGGTTAAGGCAAGTATTGATCAACAGGTAAGTATGTTGAACCAAAACGGTTAAAGGTAAGTAATTTCTTGATAATGAAGTGTTATATGGCCCACTGAATCATACTCAGACTTAATGCTGACAACAATGAAACCACTTGAGAGAGAACTGTCAGGCGAATTATTTCTTAGCATAAAAGAGGACAATGGTACAAGAGGAATACCAAATTATTGTTTTAAGTGTGAAAATATAGCAGAAGTAACACAAAAATTCAAAAACAATGGACTTGTGAAAAGGCCCCTGAAATAATCAGGTCTTCACACACACACACACACACACACATTTATTTATTTTTATTTTAACCTGTTTAGTACTCATTCAACTTATTTTATTTCAGTTAGTTGCAAAGGTAACATTTCGAATTTTCGTTTAAGTTTTTTATTTATTTATATATTTATTCTAAAGTTTTCCAGCTAATATTTATATTTTATTTTAGCTTTATTTTAAGTCACGATAACTATTTTAATCGTTTTAAATCCTAAAATCTTGTTCTTGGGAAAAGTTGCACAGAGCACGAATAAAACAATGAAAACACCGCAGTGAATGAATGGGACTGTCTGAACACACCCGACTCGTTCTCCAGGTGTTGGGCCCAATTCTGACCCCCGCCAGATTATTACCCCCCTAGTATTGGTAGGTTTAGGGTTAGGTGTGGGGGACGGGTTAGGATTAGGCAATCAGGTATCGATTTCAACGAGGGGGGTAATAATTTGGCAAGGAGTCGAAAATGGGCACAACACCGGAAATGAGCTTTACACTGCTCACAAACAAAGCTTTGCATCGATTTATCATTATTTAGATGCAATAAAGGCGATTGGCTCAATAGCTCCCGTTATAAATTACACAGACCTTCCGTTTTATTAATCTACAAGACCCTAGCTTGCATATGAGTGACTGTGATATGAGTGTTTGCGCTCATAACTTCATGCAGCGCATGTAGGCGTTCGAGTCAAAAAGTTTCCAGATGTCAAACAGCATGCATTTACGCCGTGTTGTGTTTTATGATGTCTTACCTGTGTGCTACCGCAGCATCCCATAATTCCCGAGCTGATGAGACTCACAAACACACAAACAGAGCTAAATCAGGGAGTTGGCAGCAGCGCGATCAACGTGTCCTGCAGCAATTTCGGTAGACTGGAGTGTAAAAGTTGCACATTGGTAATAAACACGTACAAATGCCCTTAGAAACAAAGACGCGTCCGCTATGGAATCACGCATGAATATAAAACTCGCTCGAGCCGCTAGTGTTAGTAAATGGATTAGGATCTGTTTTTTCAGGATCTGACGTGCTGTAATTCTCCCTCGCGAATTCCGTGACAAGGTGAAGGCGGAGCTGTCCTGTCCTCCTCCTCCTCTTCTTCCTCCTCCTCTTCTTCCTCCTCCTCTTCTTCCTCCTCCTCCTCCTTTACCGGACCGGACCGAGTTCCGTTAGCTTAGCTTAGCAATCTGTGTATGTGTGTGTGTGTGTGTGAGCGAGAGAACCCAATCAGATATTTCACACTCCAGTTCATTTTCGAGAGCTACTGGAGTCTGACTGTCCATACTCGAAGATAGATTAATATTAGGAACACGTTTCACGTTTGTTATGCTTTATTAAAGACTATGGAATACCCTTAAAGGGACTTTGGCGTTATGTCTTTTGAACAGATTCTTTTGTAATGATTCGGTTAATATGATTCAAGGAATCACTCGACTGCAAGGGATTGATCTTGTTTTGATCTTATTTTAGTGTTAACTGCGATAGACGTTGTTTAGGAGAAAGCTACAATATTGGAAACTTTGTTGCTAACGTCATTGAGAATCATTTTGATATATAATATGGATTGAATAACATTACAAATAATATTGGAAATTACGTTGTTGACAAAAAATGTTACAATAAACGACCGTGATCTATGATAACCTAATCGACAACAGTGGTTAATAAAAAATAAAACATTAAACGTAAATTAAAATGCCGCCGAGGATACTGCGAACACTTACCTGGAAAGAATCGGTGAAGAGGTTAATTGAAACGAACCGTTCGAACGAACCGATTCGCTACAGTGATTCGGACTATTGAGCTCGTTTACTTTAGCACCTTCTAGCGAGAATAAATAAGTAGTGCGATCACATTGTCACCATTGTCACATTATGGAGTTCCAGTGGACATGCTTTAGGCGCAGAGATAAAATGGTGAAAATCGTAAAATCATAAAACGGTAGTGTTATCTAAAGCTACAGATTATTTTGTTAAAGTCCATTGTTTCCTTCGTGGTAAGAATCCAAAAACTTTGCAAGACAATCTAAGTGTCAAAGTGCAGATGCCAGGGATTGAACCCGCGGCGTCATACATGCAAAGCATGCGTTCTACCACTGAGCTACATCCCCGCCACAGCAACGCACAGGAAACAGCGCTCATACGCATTCACTTGGAAAACGAGATTAACGTTGTAGCATGAAATATCAATCTATTATGTCTAACGCCGCTTCTAGGGTAACATTAAATGTTAACATTAAACCTGTTTTTGAAAAAACGCCCCAAAAAAGTTTTGTTTACGTGGAAAAAAAATGATTCAGAGAGCGGCCTGTTTTTTTTTTTGCATGTTTCTAAACCCGGTTACTTTTTTTTTTCTTTTTCTTTCAATTGTTCATATATTATTAATGCATATAAAATCAAGTCTACATATCTATCACCAGTAAGTTTGTCTTTTTTATTTTTTACTATTATTTATTTACTGCAATTCTTTTTTTCTGCTACTCACAGTTAAGAACTTACACACAGCACCTGAACAGAACAGAAAAAGGGCACAAGAGTGACTGAAATAGCTTTTTAATATTTAAAATGTAAACACATACATTGTAACAGAAAATAATGGCCACGGTGGGACATCTAAAATGATCTATTAACCTTTTGTTAAACACAAAATGTCCTGTTTGTGAATTATGAATGTCAAGACCAGTTTAACATTATAAAGTGCTTCAGTTTTGGACCAAAGACAATACTTTGTTTCTTCTTCTTCTTCTTCTTCTTCTTCCACGTCATTCAATGGCAGCAGGGATTGTTGCTTAATTTCTGAGGGTGTCTGACTAAAAAGCACCTCATGATAAAAAAATAAACTCAATCGGTAGCACCTCATTGCTTTTGGTCACTTCACGCTGCTGGCGAACAACAACGGTGCCATTGGTTGAGATCATAAAAGTGGTATAATAAATTAAACATAAGCATTTAGTATAAGGAGGCACATCCTGAGATATTAACTCCTGTACCAGAGGCCTATGAATGTAATTTCTAAGAAAAAAACGGTAGCTGTCGTCTCTCAAGGCCTTACTGTAATCGCACAGTGTAGACAACAACAACAACAACAAAAATGTAACATTTAGTAGCCTGCTGAGAGCCACTAATATCCAACAATGGTTTTAAACCACTTGACCTGGTTTGGCACGGAAATGATTTGTTTCTGTACAGTTTCACACAATATGAACTCGCCTCCGCTTCGGGCCGTTTTGGACACAAAAACAACTACGAATCTCCCAGCGAAGTCCCACCAAACTCGCCTCAAGATCAGCGAACATCTGTTGAAACCCACGCAGAAATACTTCAGGATAACAAAGCTAGAGCATGCTTGAGCTTACAATGGCGTCCTAAACATGGCATCCATGTAAAGCATGCAATTAACTTCTAAAGTCATCCGCTCCGTCTTCACAGTAGATGTAAATATCACTGTAGCTTTGATGACAGTGTGTGCTCCACACTTCGAGTCCATTAGCGGAGTGTTGTTTCAAGGCACGACACTTTCAAACACTTGACAATAACAATAGTAATACATTGCACATCATTGCATCAAAATATCATTTGAGTATAGTTCTATGCATGTCTAAAAAAGTAAAGTACAAAGACTTAGAGTAGCTGCTGGAATGCAAAGTTTGAAGCCTGTGCTAAATGAGGAGATGAATTCGACATCTCATTGGCAGTGTCTGAATGATGTTTTCGCAGACGTCTTGTCAATCAAACATTCACCGCTAGTGGAGCGAACAGCTTCAAGTTTCCTCACGTTCACCGCGACGGGGCGACAAGCACCAGGCTCGGCCTCGCTGTCATCGGTGTTTGTTTTACTTCAGTCTTTTTTGCATTGATTTGCATTGTTTGTTTCAGTAGTGTGTTTCAGGTCCAGCGCCCTCTTGTGGGCACAAACACACACAGCTGAAATTGAACAAAAAAAACTAAAAAGAGTAGTACAAAAAAAAACGACATAGTCCCGTGAAGGTGGATTTTTGTATCCATTGAATGGCGGATCACACCACAGTCTCTTTGGCCTTCTCGTCTACGAGGAAGGCGTTCAGGTGAGAAATGTCCACAACGGCATCATTTTTGTTAATGTCCTCGTCACTTTGGTCCTTGGCAAAATTGACAAATACCTGAAATGAACAGACAAACAAATATAAGTCTCAACCAATGGCGTTTACATAGTCTTGAAATCTTATTTGTAATTTAGCATTTTTGTTTGCATTTTACTGCAAATTTGTAGTTTTTGTTCTTTCTTCCATTTTTTTTGTTTTGTTTACACTAACACTCAAAAGTTTGGAGTCAGTAAGATTTTTTCATGTTTTTAAAATAAGTCTTTTATGCTTTTATGCTTAATTAAATTTTTGCTTATTATAACAGTAATTTTATGAAATATTAAAATATTACAATTTAAATTAATTATATAATAGCGTTTCTGCTTAATGACATTTTTGCTTATTATAACAGTAATATAATGAAATATATATTGAAATATTATTGCAATTTAAAATGACTTAATTTTATAACAGCTGTTTTGTTTATTTTTTTTCCTTATTTGAATTGTTGCTGATTTATTTTAAAATATTACAATTTAAAATAATTATATAATAGCGTTTCTGCTTAATTTTTTGCTTAATGAAATTTTTGCTTATTATAACAGTAATATTACGAAATATTATCACAATTTAAAATAATTTAGTTTTAAAATAGTTTCATTAAATGTTTTCCTAATATTATTACAATTTAAAATAACTGTTTTCTATTGTAATATATTTTCATTAGTCTTGAAATCTTATTTGTAATTTTGCATTTTTGTTTGCATTTTACTGCACATTTGTAGTTTTTGTTCTTCCATTTTTTGTGTTTTATTTACACTAACACTCAAAAGTTGGGAGCCAGTAAGATTTTTGTCTTTTATGCTCACCAAGCATTTTATGAGTTTATTTGATAAAAAATACAGTAATATTATGAAATATTATTGCAATTTAAAATTAAATTTTTGCTTATTATAACAGTATTATGAAATATTAAAATATTACAATTTAAATTATGCTTATTTTTGCTTATTATAACAGTAATATTACGAAATATTGAAATATTATTACAATTGAAAATAACTTAGTTTTAAAATAGTTTAGTTAAATTTTCCTAATATTATTACAATTTAAAATAACTGTTTTCTATTGTAATATATTGTAAAATGTAATTTATTCCTGTGATCAAAGCTGAATTTTCAGCATCATTACTCCAGTCTTCAGTGTCACATGATCCTTCAGAAATCATTCTAATATACTGATTTGCTGCTCAAGAGACATTTCTCATTATTATCAATGTCGAAAACAGTTGTGCTGCTTCATATTTTTGTGTAAACCGTGATACTTGCTTTATTCAGGATTTTCTGATGAATAGAAAGTTCAAAAGAACAGCATTTATTTGAAATAGAAATCTTTTGTAACATTATAGGTGTCACTTTTGATCAATTTAATGTGTCCTTGTGAAATCCAATGGATTTCTTTAAAAAAAAAAAATAATAATTGCACAGCAGTGTAGTAGTTTTTGGAATATTTGTGTGTTTTCTGACTCCAACAATTACGTATTGCAAACAGTGGCACTTTTAAATCTGAATGGCATTGAATATGACAGAAAAAATCTTGATGCGCACTTACTTGGTCTAAAGTGGTCTGTGAGACGGAGTAGTCCTCGATGTGGAGCTGCTCTTTGTTCTTGGAGAGGATGTTGAAGATGCGGGCGAGGGATGTCAGCGACGAGGGCAGCTGGTACTGCAGCATGTTCCTGTGCTTCTCCTTCAGCGTGCTTCCCGGCAGCTCCCGCTCGATGAACTCCATCACCGGCTGCAGCTGAGGATCGGCCCCCGCCACCCGCAGGATGATGGTGTACCCGTCACCGAACCTGGAACAGCCACAGCAAAAGGCTTCAGCGAACTGATTCAAAAGAGTCGATTCACTTGAATGATTCAAAATCCTGATGTTTAACCTCTTACTTGTTCTTTAAGTGCTGCACACTGCCCAGGCAGCGGAACCTGCCGTTCACCATGATGGCCATACGAGTGCAGAGCGCTTCACACTCCTCCATACTGCAGAAAAACACAGCAAAGTCATGCAAAGAAGTCAGATCACAAGAATAAACCACACTGACTGAGGCTCTCTCACCTGTGTGAGGTCAGGACGACCGAGCGTCCCTCTTTAATGATGCT